AGAACTACTTTAGCGAAGATATCGTATACCTTAAATATATGCCAGTTACAACCGTAAATACCAAGCGTTCGTTTTTGGCTTAAAAAACGATATTGATAAACTGCTTACGAATTGCGTCCCGTATAAAAAGGGATAAAAAGTGTAACGGAGCGCATATATAATAAAACGGCCCTTCTCAGGGCCACAAATGAACAACGATATGACGAGGTAAAACGGCACGAAGGCGACCAAATATAATAAAAGAATAGTGTCGTTTAATATCGTCGACGGGAGATAGGAACCGACGAATGAGGATGGAGCGCGATGTTCAATTGGGTACAAATACCGGACACCTTTCCGAGCATCGACACTTCATTCTTCTATCCACAACTATCAACATCTCAGAAATCAAGATAAAAAGAATAGAAGAACCCAACGGCGATTACGACGACGGCAACGTCACGGCGATAACCAGGACGACGATTACAACAATCACGAATCCGGCTCCAGCGGCATTTATCCGCGGGGCTCCGCAATTCGTGGATCTGTTCGCCAAAACTGAAAAAGGCCCTTTTCAGGGGCAACACTCGTAAGACCTTTCTGGCGCGCTTATTCAAACGGTCACCGGTAAAGTGATCACGGTCGGTATTGCTCACTTGCTTAACACGTTAAGTGCCGATGTCAACACGTAGTTGACATGAGTAAACGGGCACCCATGGCCGGTGTCAATACGTTGTTGACATGTACATACAGGCGCCCGTGGCCGATGTCAACACGTAGTTGACATGCAATAACCTGTCTTAAATCATAGCTTTGTTCAGTCGGTTTTTGCCGTACACATTTGAAATTTGTGTCGGCTATTCATTACCGTATTGAGTATTAATCGCGCATTTGGTTTTACATTTTCATATTTTTTTTATATTTTATTTACAATTTATGTCTTACGAAATAAGAAAAATTAACGGTAAGTAATCTTAGTGTTGTATGTAAATTCTTACGTATTTTTCATTAAAATAAAAATATATTTTTGTATAAAATCGTATAAACATATAAGTTAATGTATAGAAAAATGAACCGTGCTATGACTGATGAAGAATTATTGAGTATGCTGGAAAATTCAGACGATGATTTCGGCTTGAGTTCTGGTACAGATTTGGGGGAAGGAGATTCTGGTGACGACGACGTCGATCCAGAATCGATACATCCGATAATGCATATTAATATTACAGAACAAGAAGAAGAAGATAATATTTCAGATACTCCTGTTCCTTCTACATCAGGCTATACGTGGAGCAATAAGAAACCTACAGTGACACGTATTCCTTTTACAAAAACAAAAGGACTGAAAGTTTATCCTCAGGGAAATAATCCTATTGATTATTTTAATTTATTATTTGATGACAAACTATTTGAGTTGTTAGTGAATGAAACAAATAGGTATGCTGTTCACGTTTTTTTATCTGGATCTGGAAGTTCTACATCTAGAATAAATGAGTGGAAAGATACAAATATACATGAAATGAAGATTTTTATTGGATTACTTTTTCATACTGGAACAATAAGGATGAATCGTTTACAAGATTACTGGAAGAAATGTGAGTTATTTGATTTGAATTTTTTTCGAAAATACATGAGTAGAAATCGTTTTTTGTTACTTTTGAGAACATTACATTTTATTGACAATGATAATCCAGATACTAATCGTCTGAATAAAATTGAACCACTTTCAACATATTTTAATAACAAAATGTCGGATATTTATGAACCTGGTGAAAATTTATCACTCGATGAGTCGATGGTCTTGTTTCGAGGGAGATTAGTCTTCCGTCAATATATCAAAAATAAACGGCATAAATACGGAATCAAACTTTATATGCTTACTGAACCTGGGGGTTTGGTTCACAAAATTATTATATACTCTGGACAAGGACATGACACGTCGACTGATTATAATCATACAGAATATGTTGTCATAAAATTATTAGAAGGACTTGATTCATGTGGCAGATCATTATATATGGATAATTATTACAATAGTGTAAAATTAGCTCATATACTGTTAGACAGAGGAACATATATAACTGGAACTTTACGGGCAAACAGAAAAGGAAACCCTAAAGAAATAACAACAAAAAAATTGAAAGTAGGAGAATGTATTGGAAAGTTTACTAATGAAGGCATATGTGTGATGAAATGGCGAGATAGAAGAGAAGTTTTAGCTATAAGCTCTGAACATTCAAATGAGTTAATTGAAGTTTCTAACAGAAGAGGTGACCAAAAATTGAAACCTGTTGCGATTACTAAGTACAATAAGTATATGTCTGGAGTTGATAGACAGGACCAAATGTTGTCATATTATCCTTGCGAGAGGAAGACAGTAAGGTGGTATAAGAAGATAGGAATACATTATTTTCAATTACTTTTGCTAAATTCTTATTTCTTATACACAGAAAACGTAAGGAAATGTACTCTTTATGATTATAGACTTTCCGTAATTTCCTCATTAGTAAAAAATCAAGAAAATATAAATATTCCACCACAAATTCCACAGCAAAATTCGCATTTTCCCACAAAAGTAACAAAAAACAATAGTAATAAGTATTTAAGAAAACGATGTAAGGTGTGCCATTCAAAAGGCATACGGAAAACTACATTATTTTATTGTTCCGAATGTGAAGGTCAACCCGGTCTGTGTCTTGAAAACTGTTATCAAAATTACCATTCATAAATAAATTAATGTATTGTTTTATAATTTTTAAATATTTTAAAAGTTTTAATATTATTTTATGTATACAGTACGAAAAATAATTATTATACTAAGTGTATAATTTTGAAGTTTAAAATATGTTCTGTTTATTTGTTATTATCATTTTAATTTTTATTATTATTTGACGAATAAAGTGTTATCATACATTCCTTAATATAATATTATATTTATTGTTTTTACACAATATACTTACCTTACATAGAAAATAATAAGTTGTTTTATAATAAAAATAGGAATTTCGTATTTCATATTTCTATAAATAATTGAAAACAGGCGCCCGTAGCCGATGTCAACTATAGTTGACACGCACCAAATCTACCGATTTTATGTGCGGCTACGGGCACTCGCGTGTTATATCGACGGCGGCGACAGGCCTGCGCCTGTCGAATTAACGGCGGCATTGAACGTGTTAAGCCTGCTTTCCATCGTGCATCCAGATCACTCAGTCACGCCTGCGTAGGCCTGATACCACTCGCCGCGGCCGCTTGCTCAAGCCAGCCGCGTGGCCCAAAATATCCCCTTAATAATATTTGTATAATGTTTATTAATATTCAATAAATAATGTAATAGCGTGTCCCGTGTATTCATTTAAGATTTGGGTGTCGATCCCCGATACACCATTTCAAAAGGTACGATACTTATTGCGTCCCGGGTTTTTCTCAAACATGACTGAATTGCATCCCTATTATCTGTGGAAACATTTTTCAATTTATCGATACTCTGTTGAGGATAAAAACTTATATTTATATAGAAAAAACCTCGATAGTTAATAAAGAACAATTTTTAAAACAAGCAATAACAAAATTTGAATTAAAACAAATTATTTAATTCGAATTAAGTTAAGTTATCTACAAATTTTTACCGATGCAATGATATCTTTTACTTAAGTTAATGTTAAAAAATACATAGAAGAACGACAGATTTTCACCAATAGATAATAACCATAATATTTTTATACAGTTACAATTAAAAATGAAATAATAATATAAAGAGCAAAAACAATATTTTTAACCCACTTGTAGTAGAAATTATTATGTAGTTATTATTATAGACAGTCCTAAATCTGTATAAAAATAATATAAGAAGGGAAATATTGTTTGATTTTTTAAATATACGAAACGCAATTGATATGACTCCCAAAAATATTAGAGACGCGATTTGAAAGGATTTGTTGCCACGGGACGCAATTCGTATGCAACCAACAATAGAAGAGTTTTTCAAACATTCAAGGAAACATTTGATTATGCGATAAAGTAAGAAACAATTTAATATGCTTTTTTTTTTTTTTAATAAAATGAATTAATTTTTCTTCGGTTACGAGTAAAAAATTATGAAATTAATTTTAAAAATCATACAAATCGATCAAAAAACGTACAAGAAATAAAATAAAGAAGTTGATATGTTATCAAAAATTTAAAAGGCTAAGAGTTTTTTTTTTTTTTTTAAATAATATATTTTTAATGTTTATGAGTGTTAAGTTAAAAAATAATTGTATTGATAATTTTTGTCTTGCTTCTTTTTCTTTTATTATTTTAATAAACGAAATTAAATAAAAATAATACATTTTTAGTGATTATTAGAGTACCTAAGCTCTATACTAAAAGAAGTGTTTATGTGTTTTTCTGATGATGGTTATTGAATACGAATACGGTTTTTTTATTTTAATAAAAAACGGTGAACCCTAATTTTCTCTATATATTCAACATTAAGTTTACAGATTCAAATGTAAATGAAAATCTTTGATCTTATCCTCCACACAGCACAGATATATTTATTCGATGTTTAATAAATATTTGATAAATATTCAATAACCATTGGTTATATAATTTTAAACATTGAATTAAAAATTAGACACTTACACAAATATCAAATATTTGTTTTCGGACACTAATAAATTCCTATTAAATGTTTCAGGTTCAATATGAAAAATAACGTATACTGGTACATATTTAATGTTATGTAAAGTTACTATTTTAAGTATTTAAATTCCAATCATATATAAAATTTAATATTGCAATATTTAATATCGTTCCAATTGAGGTATTAACAAATTTGTTCGTGCACCAAATATCGCGTCACCTGTAAAATATTATAATTTCTTGGAAATGAATTTACTTTTATTAACTTTCACATTAATTGTGTTCAAGTGCCGACGAATGAATAAATATAAATCGTTTTAGTTATGGCATTAAGATAGACGACACGTATTCCGTGTTAGCTATTTCCTATCAATAATATTTTAAATAGTATTTACCTGATATGCCATCATATGTCCACCAATCTTCCCAGCTGACCGTGGATAACACTGAAACAGTTGAAATTACATTCGATCAGTTTAATTGCACTGTGATGAACCTATAGATTTTTAAACGAGTTTATTCTGATAATAAGCGCATGCGGTCTTATGTGAATTGATTTCCGTGTGGCTTTTATCATTCAAAATTGTTTACGTAAAACAAAATTATAAAAATTTACTGTAGTAACAATACAACATGGAAAATCGATGAAAAAAAATTAAAATTGATATCATTTTAACGTTTTTGACATAACTATAAAACACTGCGGTTATAACCACAATACTGTACTGTGGTTACATGGATAGAATTCGAGTTGTCAAAACCTGGAGAACAACAACGTTTAGTTCAAATTCTAACTTAGGATATAATTAACCGTTTTGTTTTACTGCTATACCCATGATCATTGCTCTATGATAAGGTTTAACGATTTTCTTTCACGATGCATTTTTTACGATAGTTTATTTTCGAAGCGCGAAAATCGTTACGTTTCCTTTGAAATGTTTTCTCGATTCGCTGTTTATCGACTGTAACACCGCCGCAAAACCGATTCGGTCCGTCGATAATTCCGTGTCTGCAGAATCGCGTCCAGCACAGTGTTTAAAAAATTATCGACGAAATTGTACGGCAGAATAAGGGCATTTTTAGACTTAATTATATGAGGGGGGGGGAAATAATTTTTTTTTTTTAATTTAGGCTCAAAATTTACAAGTAAAATTGTTGGTAATATTTACATCTGGTGAATCCTTAATATTTGTAGTTTTTTTTTATTCTAATGTCGGATCCACTTAGAATCAACTTTTGGGTAGTTATTTTTTAATATCTGTCTGTTTTTTGAAAGTTACGTTTGTGTTTATTTGATTTTTCACTAACTATGGACCCGACAAAAAGCCTAATTCAGTATTCACAGCCATGCGTAATTTGATTTCGTTATAAAATGATCCACATTAAAAAAATTTGAAATGTGTATCTCACATATAATCGATTCTTTAAATACGGATTCAGGTGGGTGATCACTTCTCCGCCCCCCCCCTTAAATACACCTCTTCGGCGGAAACAACGGATTTGCAATGCAACGACCAACAGCGATGGACGCACAGCGATAATGGGATCAAACGTTTCGCTGGACGTAACGGAGCACACCACGTGTTTCGTGTAATATGCGAAACTATGTTTGCAGTTTACTCGAACGGAAAATGAGCTTTTGCCGATTCCGCGTGGTCGGCGAATAGTTTTAAACCATTATCGAAATCGTTTTTTGTTTTTTCCTCTCCTCCCCTATTCTTGCTCTCCTTATGTCCGTTGTTCGTACCGCGGTTACCAGACACATCGAACCAACCGTAGGAAACGTGTGAAAAAAAACCCCTCCGAAATTAACACGCAACAATGTTTCCGAACACAACAAAGTGTACGCGTATGGGTCGATCTCTTGCGCAAGTTTTCGATCGCGTTTAAACTCCACGCTACCCTACACTACGTGAATTAATTTCGATGGTGTAACTTTTAGGTGAAAAAATTATTTTTAGCTGTAAATTAAGCGTGTTACGTACTCCTCGCACTGCACAAATCACGTTCTACGTTCGAATACGTGTTACGTAATTATTCTATGTGGATTTTATTTGTTTTACAGACAGTATCTTCTACTATAGTTTAATATGCGTACAGTTGATATTGCATTGTTTGTTCTCGTAGTTTTGCGAAACACAACAACAGTGAATATCGCATTTTGAAAAAAAAAACATTCTTTCTTATTAAAATATTTGCGTGCACAAAAATGTTCTGAAAAATCTTGTCCTTCGAACGTTGTCCCTTTAACACGTAGTTGAGTGTATATATGTTTTTATTTTCAACAGAAGAATAATTACGTTTCTGTGAGAACGTTTCCGTTGTGTTATTTTAATAAAAAAAATAAATAAATAAATAAAAAAGAGAAGTTGATAAGTTCACAATAAATGTAAGTTGCTACGAAGTGTACAATTTCATTTATACAATAGTACACGTCTTATACGCCCATAGCAATGTTTTAAAAACTGTAAATATCCCAAACATTGGAGAATGCGTTTTCTGAATTTTACATCATATGAAATATAGATAAACGTTACGATTTTGGAATTCAAATTAATTTTAACGTTTTATTTTTAAACGAACTGCGCAGATTTTCCAATAATTTAATTTATGGATTTGACTTCAATATTGTACCTACACTAAAATCCAAACAACCAATCTCGAAGTGTGTTCCTAAGCACTTCGACCGAGTAGTTGAACAAATACTCGTATCACTGTTTTTCACACAGATAATTTCACACAGAAACACAATCGACAACCACATATTGGTTATAAATATAGTTGAGACTTTAATGCCATCAATAAATATATGAATTCCTAAAGGGTTCTAAATAATGCACTAATTATTCTTTTATTAATATGGACAGATTTGGTATAAATAATTATTATGCTTTATTTAATGCATTGAAGAATACGTTTAATTAGATTTTAGCAACATCTTTCAATCTTATACGAGTACGTATACCTGTACGATATTTATTTATTTTTTTGTTCATAAAAATATCTCGTAAAGTTGTAATTTTAAATTCTAACTTCATACTAATATATAAAAAAAAAAAAAATAATCATATACAGGTATATACGCGTTAAATATCCACCGTCAAAACGTTTTAAAGGAGGAAAAAATTAGCATATAACCCAAAAAGTTTCAATAATTGCCTAAACAGTCGTATTCTTCTTGTAAGCAATGTAGAAACGTCAATCATTGTTCAGGTATACGGATTAAAATAGCACTAATGGTTAATAATTAATAATTCATTAACAATCACGTTAAGATTATTTCCCATTAATCATCAACATATTCAACATTCGTACGTTATAATAATGTCGAGCGACTAAAGCTCTATTTAATTGTTTGTTGAAAAACTTAAAAGTATATTTTTTTCTGTGCGTGCGTTATTTAAAACCGAAAATAATAAAAATATAAAGAAATTTAATAAATATATAAAACGATAAAAATTCAAATCAATTTTAGGTAATATGTTTAACCAGAAAAATAATTGGTTTCTCCCCGCTCCCCCTTGTCTGTCGGCCGGCTAAAACTCATTTTTGGGCTACCGATTTAGTGATCCCTGTTCTACACGATTTCGTAGTACATTAAATCGTCAACCGTTGGATCAGTGATCGTCAAACGATGGTCCACGATATAATGTTGAAAATTATTTGAAATTGTATTATCCTTATGGTAGTCAGTACCAATGATGTATAAATAATAATGTAATAAAAAAAAAAATAAATAAAAAAATCCTTTATTATTATTATGTTATAAATGTATTATTTTTTTTAACGGAAAATTATTAGTGGACAGTATTTTTATATAAAAAAAAAAAAAAAAACCATAAACTAATCAACTAATCATCTTTGAACAAAAACCTAAGATCTTGTATAATAAACACTAATTAGTGGTTTAGAACAGTGGTCTTCAACCGGTGGGTCGTGACCCAATTTTAGGTCGCGTAAGCTTAGCTTTAAGATTGGGTCGCGATAAGTTTTCTGTTTAAAATTTAAAAAAATAGTATTTATATATATGACTATCAGTTCGGATCATATATATATATATTATATAATGTATGTCATATGATATTGCATAAAAATCTTTTCGAATGAACCCGAAACCGTACTATTTTATACTATTTTAAATTTGTAGATTAGAATGAACACTTTTTTCTCAAACACTCATACTTAATCAGAAAAAATCCTCAAACCAATATGCAACACATATCAATAATCATTAACTGTTGAACACATAGTGGAGGAGTCTACACAATTTACCTCAATACGCACCGACCTGAACATGCCATCCACATAGTAAAAGTACTTAGCGAAAAACAAATTCTGAAAATTGTCACATTATTAAGTATCACAAATATTATATTAGTAAATCTTAATTTACATCTAACTTCACCTTTATAATATTTCATATGTAATATTGTAATTTTAAATCTAACACCTAACACATCAAATAGCTAATAATATGAGTATTTTCTGTTGAAGCCTCAGTTTTCAAATAAAAGAAAAAAAGAATGAACAATTAAATTAAGTGATAGCCCGACTTAATTTATAAATCTCATTTACATTTCATATATCTATAAACTGCATTGTGTTAAATTGAGCTGAGGTGGAGATATTTCGCGTGAAAACTGTCCAGGTCAAATATCGCACTAATTTCTCTTGTGTATCAAAACATTTTGCATTTTTTTTTTTTTTTTTTTTTTGTATAATTTCTTATAACTATAAAAAATTAAATTTTTCCTAAACAAAAATATAAATTTTGATTTATTCAGTTATAAAAGCACTTCTAAAACTGCATACATTAAACAATTTTAACATTTTTATTCGGTTTTCATGGCTAACGAAGTTTACACGGGTCGCGAAAAACGTTTGGTAAGAAAAGTGGGTCACAGGTCGAGAAAGGTTGAAGACCACTGGTATAGAGTATAGCAAGGCTTAATCGGTCGGCAACCACCGATTCGAATCGTGCTAAAAGCAATCTTTGCCGGACATTGCAACGGCCGTACGTTAAAACAACACGTGTCGTTCAGAACGCGTAAAAGACGCGTGTTTTTTTTTTATATATATATTTCCGTGTAGTATTATCGTACACGCGTGTGATTAACCGTCCAAAACGGTGGACGAAAGCGAAACGACAATATCGGTAGAAAACACCGGAGCGGGACGCGCGCACACGATTATAACGACGGGTTCGTTTCGGTTAATGCAATCAAACGGTGATCCCCGGGATCTGCAATCGTATTCGCACGGGAACGGAATTACTCAGTCTTCCGGCGCAGTCGTTTCTCGCGGCCGCGCGTAACGACGAACGACATCCGCGCCGTATAATTGACAGGCGCGTCCTTCCCGCGCGTCACGTCGCGCGCGTTTCTCCAGCGACCAGCAATTAGTCGAATTGAAACGGTGCGCGCTTGTCGCGCCCGAGAGTGTCCCG